GAAACAGCCAAACGAGTGAGAGAAGAAGGGAATGAGTTAACAGCTTATGGCATCGCGGGAAAAGTCGCCCTTGCCGTCCGGAAAGGGCGCGCAGGAATCCAGAGAGGAAGAATGGGAGGACGAGAGGGTTTGAAACAAATACACATGGGCTTGCAGCGGTCCAAGTGGGTGGGCGACTGGCACCTATTAATGTCGGCTCAGCAGGATAGACATGAGACGCACGCCATGCGAAACCGCGCTTGATAGTGCGGGACAGGGACCATTTGCGGGTTCTTGAAGCGCGACGAGACGTTCAATGCCACGCTGGATGACAAGGAGGGACGAAAGGGGGGCCCTGTAAGGCATGTCAAGCTGACAAGGGCCCTGACCTGATGAGGGGGGGGTAAGTCTGGGAGAGACAGTATTCCCTGGCTGACCTACTACGTAGCATAGCTCGAGCGGTGAATCGGATCACAGTGGTGAATGGGCAAACCGTTTGGATTCTCTGGATCAATGTGCAGTCAAACACGATGCTCAGAGGTCGCATGGAGCCATAGCGGGGAGACTGAGAGCCAGCAGAACCGATCTCAATAGCTCCTCAGTACTGCTGATACTATTAGGCTAGACAGGGGTCGCTCACCTGCACCACCTGTCGTTGCACCCTCAAGCAGACCCTTGTCAAGCAGACGGACGAAGCAGAATTGAGAAGAACGGACATACAAAGGACTCGGGTTGACGCACCGCACCGCTCAGAAACCTGGACATGACATTTCAGTCGAAGCCAAGTCCATGCCACGACAAGGGTGATGCTTCAAGATCGAAACGCACGAGCCTATCAAAACTGTCGTTGGCGAGAATGGGTACTGAATTCCATTGACTAGGGAGGTAACACGACGATGGCTTGAATCGACTCCAGGGACTCGATAAAGGCTTCAACGGTCTGGGATCTAGGTATCTTGCCTCGTGGCTCGAGGCCGGGTACAGGCCATTCCGGGGCATTGTTGAGACAGGGGCTCCCTGTATGTTTCTCTTGTCAGGGACTGTACTGTACGTTAACCGAGTCAAGTTGCGGTACGTGTCTGCATATAGTACAAGGAAGGCACAGCAGAATTGAGCAAGTTGATAATGTTACGTTAACTGGTAGAGAACAACAAGACAAACTAAACTACCTTAGGTACCTAAGGCAGTCTACGGTTTGCGAGACTATCGTGTCATTGCTTGGGTTGCAATTTGAGCGGCACGCGCCGCCTCCTAAATAAGAAAGATGGGTGCCCCGAGCGGTAAAAGGTGGAAATGAAAGCCAATACACGCTGTCGAGATTAACGGTGATGGGCGTTTTAGATGAATGACAGCAAATGTCAATTAACTTAGTGCATGAAGTATGAGATGAAATCGAGCTCATCGCGTAACAAATGGAACACTCACGCAGACATGCAGTTGATCATCCATGATACACTGGAAAATGGAAGATACCCTCACAGCTGAGCTGATACTGCCCATCATTCATGCAGGATGCCTCAGGTTTGTCTGGAACTTGGGTCACTTTATTTATCTTTCCCTTCTTCATCTCGACAATCCAGACCAAAAAAATATATTACGCCCATCTCATCGTCAGCTTTGATATCGACAATCTGTACCTGGACCAGCACTAGGCTCCCGCCATCTGCGGCCCCATGTGATCTAACGAAGCACGGCAGAGCCTCTAACCACTTAGCGTCCGAGGCCTTAAGCGGCCCAGCTCGACTTATTTGCATAGCGTTAGGGCCACCGCAAAAAGCAACCATTAGTCTCCAGCCGCAGCGCTACCCACATCCCTCATCAGAGCCCAACTGTTGGAGATCTAGGTCGTGATTTGGCAGGGTCATACAGAGTACTGCACACTCGAATACAGTTTCACATAGCTCGAATTTATCACGAGCTATTCCCTGTAATCGACCTACAACAAGACATCGACGTATGTGAGTGACATTACGCCCACAGATACCAAGGGATGGGTAAACCTCTTGGGCATGCTGGCTCTCCTGAACTGTCCTCCTGCATTAGACCTACATTCCTCCTCTGGGAATACTCTACGTGGGCTTCAACAAATAAGATCACATCCTCACTGCTCAGCGGCTAGAACTCATAACGATGATCCTCCACAAGATCGACCCTGATCAGATGGGTCTATCTCATGTCAGTCGTTTTAATAAGCGACATCTGAGGGAATGGGAGCCAATCAAAATCACCGACCAATCAAGGCATCACTTCGACCTCTTTCTTATTCTTCAGCTGCATGTTGGTTTCCAAATATCCGTCCTTATTTATATATGTTATGCTGTCTTCTCTATATCCTGGAAGTTGTACCGCGATAGGAATTGGTCATATTTGCTGTGCAACAATCGATACCCTCTTAATCTGAGAGTCTGTCAAACCAAGAGGCACTTCCTGACAACTGACGTCGTAGGCTGCTGAGCCAGGGTTCCCTGAAACTGACACGACGGCGTTTTTTTGTTAACTATGTGCTGCCAAGCCGGAGCGTATAATGTCTGTCACTGTCTTCAACTAAAGAGACCTTTCCTAAATCCCAAGGAGCACGTTGGAATGTCGGGTTTCTTTCGAAGGGGTTTCTGACTGCCCTTGCAGACTCAGGGGTGTGTGGTCTTCTACAAGACAGTAACACTCCCGATGGCTGACTCCAACAATTCATTAAATGTGATCGTAACTGGACTACTCAGAAACAATGCCTTCTTGTCCTTTCGGCAAATTTTCAAGATCCGCTTCCTGGTGCTCTACGCGAGTGGGAAGGGAACGGACGAGGAATAATTGTCCCCCACGGTTCGGTACAGTCCCACAATGAGTGAGCAACCTGAAACAATGCCAGGATGTCGACAATGATGACCACCATCGCAACCCCGTTTCTTGAGTAACTATCCCAGCACATTTCACGACCATCTTGAATAACACATACGGATAGACTCGCACGAATAGGTGCTGGCCTGACTAGGAAAGGACTAGTTGCCAGCTCTTCTAAAATGGCTCTCCTAGCTCTCTATCTTTGCAACTCGAGCCATCGTTGGAACAGCAAGCTACTGCAGGTGCTGTTTCAGGAGAAGCTGAGGTCCATCATTCTGGTCAATCCTCCGTACATCGTTAAGTAGCGTTGCTGTTTTGATCTGACAGCTGATACGCAGTCCACTTTATCGGCCGAAAGGTTCAGGACGAGTTTCAAACACCATTGCCTTGCATATCAAATATTGTCGACAAGCATGTCGCTTGGAAGCGGGACGGTGAAAGCTTCAATTCCGGTTAATCATGCGTTAAGCTAGATGCATCTGGGTATCGCAGGTCGGCGTTGTCTTCGAGATACTGCATCCATTTCTTCAAGAAGCTGCTTCCTCTGTGAAACGGGCACGTTAATAATCTCTCGTCTCAGGTGAATGGCTGGAACAATCTGCGCAGCACTGGTCAAACCAGTGGCTGCAGCTTCGAGGCCCAAGTGCACTGCATTGTTGCTTACCTCTGAACTGTCTCCGAGTCTCCGATAACCGTCAAAGAACGCTTCGGACGTGTCATTGCGACTAAATACACCTGTATCAGTCAAAGCTCTCTTTGATGTCCGGGTGGCCCGAATCAGAACGGTAAGCACCGGGATGTCACCTCACCGTTGAGACGGCGCTTCTCGCCGAGGAATCCAACCTCGCCTTCAGAGTTGCTCCGAACAAGGCTCACGATTACTGCCTCTTTTTCGCGACCTTGAAAGCCGTCAACACTGCCGAGTTCGATGCCCGGGAATTTGTCTTTCAGCGGAGCTAGTATGGCTAGCTTATAGTCCACTTACTGTCAGCATACCTCTCACTCTACATATTGGGACGTACCTGAGCATTGTACGGTGTCACAACAGCTATATCTTTTGGACGGACCCCGGCACCCACGAGTTGTCTCACGTGCTGTTGCACAAGAGCAGCCTCCATCTCGTTGCTCTTACTGTCACCATGCAAACCTGCTTTGCCCTTTCTAGGCGTGTCCTTGTCGTCTTCCTCGCTCTTTTCGGGAAAGTCACCTCCCTGTGTATCTATGAAGATGACAGGTTCATTGGTGTCCTCGTTGTCCTGGACCTCATATTCAAGGTCTTTGAGGAGGCGATGTTTCACAGCATCAGCAGCGATCAACTTGGAGTCGTATAGTTCATCAGAAGGGAACCGCATAATACTCTCGTGCATTCGATACTGCGTAGTTAGCATACGTTTGATGGAGGGCCCATGCAATGCCAGCAGTCTGTCAAACATGGTAATTTCAAGCGTGGTACCCTTTGTGACTTTTGCGCCATCTTTGACTGGCGCCTTGACCTTTGTATTGCTTGATTTGATGGTTGGTGGGAGCTGCAGATGGTCACCGGCACATACAACCTTCTTAGCAGATACGAGAGGGACCCAACACTGAGCCTCAAGGGCTTGGCTGGCCTCATCGATGATAACAACATCAAACTCATCGTTCCGCAACTGATAGCCTCCTGCCCCATGCAGTGTTGCCAGAACGACCTTGCTACCGCCAATGAGTGTACTGACACAGCGCCGTTCTCGCTCACGAAACTCTTTTCTCAGTTCTTTGAGGTCGGTGTAGATTACTTTGCGCTCCTTGCCGCTCTTCGTCTTTTTGATCGAGGCCTGCTTGGTGTCCATTTCTGTCCTAATATCTTTCACAATAGCACCAGCTTCTGATGTTTGCGTGAGTAAGTCGAGCGAGTGGTCAACCACAGAAGGCAGTAATCGAGCAGGATGGCCCAGACGAAGTATCGGGATCTTGTGAGGAGCTAGTCGCTCGACAATGTTGTCAACAGAGATGTTGGAAGGCCCGCAGACCAGGATTCTTTGACCCAGTTTGATCATCTGAAGAATCAGCTCGATTAGAGTGTGAGTTTTGCCAGTCTATGTATAAGCACGTGAGCAGGTATTTTCCACTTCAGTATAAGTCACTTACTCCCGGAGGTCCATGGATCAATGCTACTTCTCGAGATAGCAAGGCGAATCGAATTGCATTCTTTTGCGAGTCGTTGAGTGTTGGATCAAACCACTCGAGATTGCCCACGTTTTCATCTTTTGATAAGTCTTCGGCAATTGGCAATGGGCTCGACAAGCCGAATAGAACTCTGATGAAACCAGAATATTCCGACTCATTCATCTTGTTTAGTTTCTCCATCGCCCAGTTCATTCTTCAAGGGAGATGGTTAATGGTGTGATCACTGTTCATCATGAAGGAGATCACTCAACATACCTTTTGTAGGTCACTTCGTCTGCCAATTTGACAGCCCATACTCTCCCCGTGAAGCCAACTTCTTCCTTCCCCTCATCAATCGCAACAGCAATCCATCCTCTGCTCACTCTGGTAACAACACCTCTCGCTCCTTTTTTCTCTAAATCTTTCACTTCACGCTTTTTAGCGCTTCCTGCCGGCTGCTCAGCGACAAGAACGATATCCCCGGTGCGCAAGCCATGCTCAGGTAATTCGTCAGGTGAGCCCGTGGCGGCATCCGGAGAGAGTTCAAGAACTGTTCGGCCTCCGAGGCCCGTACGTTGGCCCGAGACAACAAGGTTTATAAGAGCAAGGCCAGCTCGCTGAAGGGCTGTCGGGCTGTGGTTGGAGATGAGGGTGCTTGTCTCATTGATCTCTGTCTGAAGTTCTTGTTCAAGAAGGGCGAGTTGGGTGGTGGCAAAGGTGGGAATATCAACTGGCTCTTTTTTGACAGCCATGGTCACTTTGTGTGGTTAAAGCTTGGTGAGGTTGCAGATGCAAGTGTAAGAGGAGCAGAATGCGAGGTGGGATTGGATGTTTGGTGGGGAGCTTCCATGATCAGGCAGACCCCGCCATAGCCCGCCCTGACGTTAGTTATCTGACTACCTACTTCGGGCGAAGTCATGATATTTGCTATCATGAGAGCTCAAAGGTACCCAATTACCCATAAAATAATACTGACATTAGTTGGCGTCTCTCATATCAAATATCTATATATACGCCAGCCTATAACCCATACTAAGAGAGCTCATACATACAAATACTCCTCTGGTATCAAGTCATGATGTAAAGCCCACATAAACGTGCCGCGTCAAAACCAAACCTCTTGCGATAAGCAGGAAAATTATGGCTCCAGCGCAAACAATGCAATATTAGAAGTAATCCAAATGAGGACATATTATACTACACGTGGAGACGAAAACTTATAGCTCATGCTCGGACGGGTGTATAGCAATCACGACCACAAGAGAGGCAACCATGATCGCCAAAGCAACAAACGCAACAATCATGATTGTACCACGACTAGCAGGAAACTTGCCCTGCATAACCCAGTGTTGAGATTGAAAATAGCGTTTATAGCCAAGGAAGAGAATCAGTATGCTGATACCGAGGAATGTGGTGCCGAGAGGCTTGCCCATGTGTCGTAGTGTCTGGGTGTTACTGCGAGAATTATCGCCATGTCCGCTTTCGAGAGACGTATTCAGGCGGAAAAGCTGCGTCACTGCTATGCCTATCGATGCGAAACTAAGAGAGGTGCGTAGCCATGCCAGAAATGTTCGTTCTTGGAGGTTGTTAGATTCGTTGCCTGAAGGTACCAAGGGTGAAGCCTACCGATTGCGAGGTGATCTCGGGCAACGCTGCCTTTGTTCTCCAGCTCTATCGACTGGAACTTTTCTGCCTGAGTCTGCCACCACGACGTATTTCCATTCTCTGAACTGGCTTGCCGAGTCGTCTCAGGGTTCTGGGCAGCGCCATTGTTTTGTTGGGAAGATGGTCGCTGACGTAAGGATGGTTTACGGATTTGTGGGACCGAGGTTGCGGTACTTGTAACATTGAGCGAGTTGTAATTGAGAGGCGGCGTATGAGATATGAATCCAGTAGCCTCGTCGGCGCTGCTGTCCTCATTGACAGGGCTCGGCTTGAGCGACGAGTTGGGCGGGAGGATGGGACTGCCGGCGGGCCGGGGTGAGAGATTGGTAGGCGAGGGACCAGCCATTGATTCGGCGCGTTCACGAGCGTTCTGTTGCGAGTAAAAGTTGTTCCTATCAGCGCTCACTCGACATTAGGGTGCTCAGGCGAGGGATACTGGGAGGAAGCGAGAGAGAAGAACAATGAAGAGGACGAGAACCGTAGAAGCACGCGAGATTCGGACGATATTTCGGAGGCTAAGGTCTGGATGTCGAGCAGGGGGCCGGCAGTTTCCCAGACGCCACAAAGACCATCTCCGTACGGACGGTGAGATAGTCGGCGACATGGTGATATCTACCAGTACCAGCCTGAAGAGCTATCGGGCTTGCAAGGAATAGCCGCCAGACCGCATGACATGCAAAGAATAGAACACATGAGGCTGGTTCACAAGAACATGGCCTTCCCGCACAATGTCTCATGAATCACCCATGTCTCACTCACTTTACAGGAACGGGGAAGATACACACCTCAAGTATCCCATTTATGCGCGCATTTGAAGATGAATGCCGCCCTAGTTGAAAGCCAACGCTGGAGGCCCTTCGGGCGGGGCCATTCGCACTTGAATCTGCATTGGCATCTGCATCTAGAGCATTCTCGGCCATCACGGGATCAGTGCGAGTCTAGCACAATTGATTGGCGAGGTTTAGGGATCCTGGTAAGAACAGGACGCGGCTATGCTGTGATATAGCGTTAGAACAGACGGAACAGTTCTAGTACGTTATGGCGAGCGTTGCGTGCGTGTTTAAACGTTGACAAGGTTATTTTGTAAAGTCAAAGGATATTTGAGGTCAAGACAAGCTTAGTCTGAGGTCCTCGTACCTAGCCTCCTACAGTGGGGTCGTCGCTTGTGACAGGCGCTCCGCACTCTTCAGCGGCTGTAGCGTCTGTACCCTGTACCCATCTACTCTCTATTGGATGGCACCAAATTAAACAGAAGCACGTCATGGTGCTAGAAAAGCAGAATGACGACGGTGAGACCAAGGCTATCGAGGGTTGAGCCAATCCTTGATAGCCTCGATTTTTATCGCGGTGAATTCTCATGGATCAAAGTCTTTTGTAAATTCTCGAACAGAATCTGTTACCAGTCAGAAGACATAACATTGACCAGGCTGCATCGCCATATGATCATTTTATGGCGGGTGCATCGTGACTTGACGAGTTGTAAGACCCCAAAGAGTGTAGGAGAAGAGCTTACGCTCCATAAGGACTGTGGTTCATCTTATACCTACCGTTAGTTACTATTGTGATTTATCATCTTCTTTGTCTTATCTTGAAGATACATGGGAGCAATCTATAAAAAAGTATTTCTTCTATATACCCTTTTGCCTCCTGGTACTAAACATGGGGTTCCCCATGCCACAACCTTGATTCTGTAGAGCCCTTGAATAAACCTCATGGCCTCATTCATACGATACCTTCGTCAGTTAATGGAGAAGGTTTCGTGCTTAATGCCTGGAACAATTACTATTCGTTACCTAATCCCAAGTATACAATAACATAGCAAGCCAATTCCTAGTAACTCTTATACCTCCATGTATACATTTTCCGTCCTTCGGCTCTACCTTATGAAATCGCAAACTCCGGATTGCCTTATTAAACCCCGGGGCTAACTCGCAACTGCCAGCATTTCACATCCGAATCGTTTTCCTATTTAGGAAATCAATCCAATGTCCCCACCGGCTGACTACACTACCTCGCCAGTTTAATTCCGGAAACTGCTCTTACACCCGTGTAAGAGAACTACGATAGTATCATGGATAAACAATAGAGTTGAAAAAGGACGTGGTTTTTAAGAGGAGTAAATCATTTAAATAGAGAGGTCAGATCCCTCGAGAGACATAGTTTCCTCATCACATCAATTTGCATCCCACTGATCTCAACAACTACCTCTCCAACAAATTCGTTCATCTTCTCTATATAAATTACTTCCACTCCAACACTCATCATGACTCACCAAATCCTCGGCAAGCAGGTTGGTCCTATCGGCTTTGGTCTCATGGGTACTCCCCCCCTGACAAATTACACCTTATCATTATGCTAACCACTCTCAAGGTCTGACTGCGCGTCCTCTCCCTGATAAGGACGCTTTCGCCGCCATTCGCACCGCCCTCGATTCAGGCTGTAACTGGCTCAACGGCGGAGAGTTCTATGGACCCCCCGATGCAAACTCACTAGCTCTCATCCGCCGGTACCTCGAAAAGTACCCAGAAGATGCTGATCGAATTGTTCTCACCATCAAGGGAGGCCTGGGCCCTAACTACGTTCCTCTCGGGACCAAGGAGAATATTCGCCGTAGTATCGATGATTGCATCGAGACTCTGGGCCCTGTTGGTCGGATAGCTTCCTTCGAAATCGGCCGCAAGGACCCGAATGTTGACTACGAGGAAGACACTCTGGCTGCAATCAGCGAGTATGTCAAGGAGGGCAAGATTGACGGCATCTCGTGTAGCGAGCTCAACGCCAACACACTTCGAAGTGCTGCAAAGAAGTTCAAGATTGCTGCACTCGAGATTGAGCTTTCACTCTTCACCACGGACCCCCTGACCAACGGCCTACTCGAGGTTTGTGGTGAACTTGACATTCCAATTCTTGCTTATTGTAAGTACTCTACTCCAATATTCCAGGAAGTTACATGATGACTAACACAAAAGTCTAGCTCCCCTCGGAAGAGGTTTCCTCGGAGGCCAGATCAAGTCTGTCAAGGACCTTCCAGAGAATGACATGCGTGCCAAGATGCATCCACGCTGGCAAGGCGAAAACTTCCAGAAGAACATCCAGCTTGTTGATGACGTCGAGGCCCTTGCAAAGAAGAAGGGATGCACTGTGAGCCAGATCGCCATCAACTGGCTCTTATCGCTCTCTCGTCGCCCGGGGATGCCTATGATCGTGCCCATCCCTGGCTCCTCCAAGCCTGACCGTATCCGAGAAAACGCAACAATCATCGACCTTACAGATGAGGACTTGTGTGATATCGACAGGTTACTTGCATCTTTTACGCCTGCTGGTGACAGATATCCTCCTCAACATATGAAGTACGTCAGTGCTTAGGAACAAGCATTGTCGAACAGTATTATGATGCGAGATTGGAGGCGTCAGACCGGCTAGTATTGACTGTGTGTTTTATAAGCCAGCCAAATACCTTGGTTTCACCTTGCTGGGCAAGGGGCTGCCTCCGAGATTTGGCTTGTTCCAACTTATTTGCCTGCTGTACACTGGCTATCGTACAAGATCCAGCTGGGTGCGCATAAGAGGGATTGGAGATAGAAAACGTTTTAAAAATAGTCAATTCCTGTAAATGCGTTCATATAATCAGTCATAAAATCATGATTCTCGTATAAACGTCGTTTCAAATAAGCCCACAATAGCAACGCTTTGTCCATCAGACGACCAGATTGACCGGCACGGGATAAGTGCCACTTCACAGTTGTCTCCAGTGTTGTTCCATAGGGAAACAATTTGAGCCGCATTTGCATATACCAAAGTCAATTGGGTATGAACAGTTTCTGTCCCGCGAGGGTGGAGTTGACGAAGCGACTCCTGCATAGTTTTGCACATATCTGTCTTCAAGCTACCCAGGGAAGCAGACGAAGGCCTATCAGCATGAGCATATGCTACTGTACTGTAGATGACAATAGCACTTGCGGTTGTGACGACTGAGTGCCATGTTTTCCAACCCTGAAGCCCGAGCTCAGACAAGCAGCACATCGAAAAACTCGCCTCTTCAATTTTCGAAAGTCCGTTATGAGCGTGCCACTCCACTGCAGCCTGTCGGGGTAGCTCTTCCACTTCAGCAGCAAACATAGGCGGGATACAAGTCTCAGGCTCATTCTGTTGACGAAGAGTCAGGGCCTCCCAGTCCGGAATGGTCTTTCGGGATTTCTTGTCATCGTTACCGAGCGACATGTAGGCAGGGTTGTATTTCAAGTCCCAGAGATCAGGGCCGCTATCGCCATCCCCTTCCTCATCTGGAGATCCGTGTGCTTGTTTCCAAGCATACCCTGCCAGCTGGGCGCTGCGCTGAATCTCGGACGAGTTGGCACGGGGGAAGTAAGCAACTGAGGTTGTCCACCACTGAATCTTCATCTCCTGACCAACTCGCCACAAATGTTGCAGAGATAGGACAATTTGAAGCTCGTGTGACTTCTCAGACGTGGATGGGAGGAGCATTGTTGCTGGAATCAGGGGTATTTGACCGGCAATGGAGATGCACCGAAGACCTGTAGACTGGCCTTGAGCTGTCACAGGCACGTCTATAGCCTGACTGTAGGGACCAATGTTTGCAGGTGCCCAGTATGACCTGGACTGGACATGGAGGCCATTGCGGTCCTGTGTCGCTTTAGATATAGGAGCAGTTAGAAAGATGGCAATATTCACACCGGCCGGCAGGAGGTCACCACAGGAGATGGTCACTCGCGACGGTGGGTTCGGTTTAGTGAATATCTTGCCGTACTCGCCATTAACCGTAGGAAAGTCTGACATGCGTCTTAAGATGACGATGGTACTTGTGATTTGGGAGAGTTGAACACCGGCCTCTGACGCCAAATCTCTGATCTTTTCTACGACCTGGATGGTTTCATCTTGTATCGGCACTTCACTGGAGCCGAAGTCTGGAAGGACAGACCAACGCAAAAGCTCGCTATCAGTAGTGAAGGACCCTGCATCTGGGGATAGTGGCGCCAACCTCCTTGAGATAGCAGAAGGCTTCGCAGCTTTCAACTCATTCAGGGGTGGTAGTAGGTCGTCAAATACAGTCTTGAAGTGAGGATCGAGGAGATTGGGGATCCGAACCGTTGGGTTGGCTGCAGCATCATGCTTGGCTTCTACCCGTGCACCACCCAACATAAGCCATGAGCAACCGCCTCCTTCACGCACTATCCTACGCCCCTGTTCCGGGACAACAATTTTCCTCTTGAACACGGAAGACGGGCCATCCAGGACGAGCGTCTCAAATTCACCACCTTCTCCTAGGGCTGCCGCACCTTGAGCTGAGCCAAACTTGCGTAATGCACTCTTGACACGGCTCGAGCCTGCTTCGCTTGATACCCGTTCCCAGAGATGGTTCTCGTCTAGTCCAGCACTGGCAACTTTGATGATCCTTGCCTCTAATCCAACATTGGCCATATCAATCAACAACTGGGTATCGGCTGAGATGGCTGCGGATGGGGATGGTAAGGCCGGATACTGCCATAGGTAGGCCAGGGGCACAAGACCTAGGCGCAGTGCTATTGACTCAACACGGGTGCGTTGGTAGGTGGAGAGGATGGCACCGGCGCATACAGCATTGGCCTCTGGATGGCGGGCGATAATGGACTGTAACAAGGGAAGCATTGACTCCGTCTCGTCACTGTCCTGGACCTTGTCCTGGGCATTAGCCGTGGCATCGTAGTCCCTCTCGTGGCGGACCGCACGTCCAGTGATGGGTAGCCGATATAGCGGTAGACCAGTTGCATCGGCGTACAGGGGGAGGACTTCGTGCCCGACTGTTTGGTACATGAAACTATTGAGGTCCGTGTCGGAAGATTCCCCGGAGCCCTGACCCTGATGAAGGCTGTCATGATCCTCTGTGGTAGGATCAGACGGCTGGGGTGTCCAGGTACCCAGATCGATGCGCTGGAAGCCCACGGGAGATGAGAGATCCGAAGGCGTCTGGAGATTGGTCTCTGGTTCAGCCTTGGTGGCGTCTTCCTGGCGGAACGGTGATTGTCCGCGTGTAGTAGCTGAACTTGAGTCTGATGCTAACAAAGTCCCTGGTCCTGGGAACAGGTTTGCAAGAGCCACGATCTGATGGCCGTGCTCGATACAGTGGATCAGGCTGAAGAAACTGTCTTTGCCTCCCGAGATAAGAGCAATGACATTGAGCTTTTCAGAATACATGATTGACAGAGCTGTGACGGTTGACCAGGCAGTTCTTTACGGAAGTTGTACCCAGTCAGGCAGGCAGCTTACGGCTGGGAAATGAGACTCAAAGGAGTGTTCTAGCTGCAATTTAGCGACTATTCGAAAGACGGGGTGGAAGGCTTGCAGAAGAAAGCCTCTGGCGTACTTTTAATTAGGAGCGGACATTTGATGTGATGTAGTGTAGCGTAGTTTGGTGGTGAGTTGGGATGAGGTGTGTGGTGTAAGAGGTGATATTGATAGCGCCAAGCCAATTCATTTGGTGGTGGATGTTTTAGGCTGGTTTCTCTGTGGGTCCCTGGGCTTTCAACCATTAGGTTGACTACGAATTTTTCGATACTGAAGCGTTTGTTAGCCTCTAAGCTACTACTCCATGAATCCAATGGCATGGGAAAGTCAGTCCACCATGTTTCATCTTGGGTTTCGCTGTGCTAAAACAAAATAAACAAGTGGCCGCCTGTGATCTAGCAAGCCCTCTCGAATGAACCAACAACACTTTTACTGTACCAAGCCTAGGCTAAGACCTTACCTTTTCCCCGAGGCCTTGACTTGACCAGCCGGATTCAATGCCAGCCTTTGGAAAGGAAAGGCGTCAAATTGTCAATCAACAGCCAATATCAGCGGGGAAATGGTGATGACATTCAGCCGTTACAATCCCATCCCGTGTACATAGTAATTTCCTTACCTTCTCGTCTCTACCTCATCTCCGCCTCGGGATCCTCTTTGTATTGTACCTAGTGACGGGGAGTCGACCGGACAATGAAGATCACCCGAAGAAGGTACGAGATGGTAATCCAGGGTCTCTGGTTATGCATCGAGTCTTAGGTAAACGATATGGATTCCATGTACATCACCTAATTGCGTTGCGAGTAAGGTAATCAATCAGTCCCACCTACAGACGGCGCTATCCAGCGATTTTCAACACCAACGCCGGCGCCAACACGGACAGCACGGACAGGGTCTTCGTCCCTCAGCGCCCAAGGCGCCACATGAGATCGCCGATCCGAATTGAACTCTTCTATTCCGACCTAGCCTCGACTGAAAGATCCGTCAACAAAAGAGGAACAGACTACGGAGAGGTAGGTAGGTAGCCAGCCAGCCAGCCAGCCAGAGACATGGTAGTTATACCAAGAGCTCCTCCAGGTGGGAATCGTGGCTAAGCTCTTGATGCGTCAGTGGCTTTGTCGGGGTTCATACAAGGTCTCGTGGGGAACACCGTCAGGCTTTGGGTTCGAAGGATGAAGGTACACCTAAGTAGTAGCCATGACGAGTTTCATGTAAAGTTAAACACGTCAACGTACTATCAAGTCACATCTCAGAGCAAGAAATCACAGGCAAGATGAGCAAGATATATTGGCAGCATTGTGTAAATTGTTGATCAATAGACCAAACTTCTAAATTGTACATGAATTGTTGTGAGGATGAGCGTCTGTCAATGACTGTGACCGGCACACTCCTGTACTCGACATCTCTAAAAATCCAGCAACAGGCAAACGACAGACAAAGAATCAGAGTAAACACAAGAATATGGAAGAAGAAAAAAGACAGACGCCTTCACCTTCGTCTCCCATTGCTCTCAAGTGATACCGTCGTCCCGGCGAGCCTTCAGTTCCAGCTTCCAGCCGCCCAGGATGATTACAACGAGTGTAAAGAACGGCAAGCCGCCAAGTTTTTATGGTGGTCGTTGTCGTTGGCAAACTCATCCATCACCTTTTAATGCAAGGTGAGGAACCGCTCCAAATGTTCTCAAACCCAAATAATTTTTTCCCCCTCGCGCCAGTTGTGTCCCATTGAAATAAAGTCACCAGAAAGTCAGGTTCAACCAGCTATGCCGCACGGTTGACCTTCGCGATGCATTGCAATTCTTGAACGAAAACAAGAAACCGATGAAATCAAATATCCTCCCTAGTGTCGTGATGCGTAGCGAGGCTGTGGATATTGTTGATACATGTATAGTGACGATGTGTAAATGCATTCATTACCGCTTGCACTCATTTGTGTGAAGACTCCCTTTTACCCAAGGTTATAACCCAAATGGAAAAATGTTCCGTGACCCAAATGCCACCGCCAAAATTGAGCGGATGGCCGAAGAAGAAGAAGGTCGTCAGCGTCGTATCGGGCATATGTCAAGATAATCGACTAGCTTTCTTGAGCATTTTGAATGATGTATGGTTGATGGACCATTTAGTCAGAGCGCTTGCGCTTCTTCTTGCCCTGGTCGCTGCCCTCATCAGAGGACATTTCACTTGCACTGCCAGGAATCTCGGAGGCAATCTGAAAGAGGACCTTGCCGTAGTTGCTGTAGTCCTCGGCCGTAGGAGGGACCATGGAAGCATCATATACGTGGGAGTCGTCATCAATGAGGTTCATGACGATGGCGCCGCTACCATGAGTTCGAGCATGCTGAGCCAGGTTGTCGCTTCTGGAGAACTTCTTGCCGCACTCGTTGCACTCGAAAGGCTTCTCCTGGGTGTGCAGAGAACGGTAGTGGCGCTTAAGATGTTCCTGACGGCGGAAGCGGCGGTTGCAGAGATCACAGACAAAGGTCTTTGAAGGGTCCTCGGTGAGGGACTGCTTGCGACCGCGGCGGTTGGCAGGAGCGGGAAGAGGAGCAGGAGAACCCTCGGAGCCGGATGAGGCACCAGAGTCGCTAGCTTCAGCAGCCTGGTTGGAAGACTCCTGAGTGTTACCAGAGTCTGTAGCGGAGGCAGCCATGTTCATGACTGGGCCAGTGGTGCTCTCCTTGGCGTAAGTCTTCTTGACACGCTTGTCCTTGTGGCAGTCCTCGGACGCACAGGGGGCGGGAGGGCTGGGATGGGAGGGAAACTGGAAGGCCTCGTTGTCGTCAAATGAAAGGTCCTCGTCACCAATGAAGCTGCCGTGGCCAAGGGATACAACTGAAGAGCCTGTGCAGGCCCGAGGTCGGGTGATATCAGCAGAGGCAGTAGCAGGCTGCTCAGAAAGATTGACGAGGCTATTGACGAAGTCGTCCTCAGACTCGAAATCAGAAAAGTCTTCAAAGGTGGGGAGGCCGTGGGGAACGGCCGGGTTGAAGTCAAAAGACTGAGCAGCAATCTTGGGCTCAACCTTGATCTCGTCGACAGTGAATTCAGGAGCGAGGGTACTGTTGATGGCACCAATACCGACGGTCAGATTCCTTGGGTCGCAGAAGTCAACGTCCAGATCCGGTGTAGAGACAGAGCGGGCATAGGGCGCAGGTGAGGGAGACAGAGACGGGGTGGACAAGAGGTCGCTGGAGGTGTTGCTAAGAGAGGGAACCTTGCCGAGTTGAGATTGAAGGTACACTATCATGCACAGTTAGTCTCCATCAGGTCATTCCCGTGTTTGCTCCACTATTCAGGTCCTGGGACAGCGCACTGGAGGTCTGCGCCTCAGAAGGTGATTGGGCCAAAATAGCGACAACGTCAGCACCATCTTTCCCGCGACCAGGCCCAAAAATAGGCTCAAGCCCGAGCTTGCGGCACAATACCATTGTGCAATCCCATAATTGGAAGGTTTGAGATAAAAGTAAACTTACCAGGTGTCATTGGGGGAGATCCGCAGTTTGACCAGTCTAGGACTGCAGTCTCAACAGGCTCGAGAGCCTCCTTGAAGCCATCGATACCATCGAGTCCAGAGAACATGGGGTTCATGGGGGTCTGGAGCACCTCGCAGGCGCTGGGGCTACCAATAGTACTGCCAGAGGTCGACAGAGGAGGTGTCGAAGGGAAGTACGAGTTCTCGTACAGCTCATTCTCCAACAAAATGGCGGGCTTATGCGACATGGGCTGTGGTGAGGCAGTAGGAGTCATGACGGCTGGGCCATTGCTGTACAGAGTGGGGGGCTGAGAGTTGCTGGCGGAACCGGGTCGCGAGTAGACTGGAGTTGAAGGCAGTGTAGGAACCATGGGATACATATGCATTTGTTGCTGAGCAAAGTGTTGTCGCATATCATGCTTGGACTCGGGGTTGTAGAAATAAAAGGGAGCTTGGCCGACGGCCTGGGGCATCATTGTGGAATCCATTTCTATTCAAGACTATCGTGTTAGCCACATCACCATCGTCTGGTATTTGCAGGATTCCACAAACCTTTAAAGTTGGCTGTGGTGTTAGCGGGTTGAAGGGTTTAGATATTAAGTTGGTATTGGTGTATGTATAGTTTGCTTGACTGGCAATCGGCCTAATGAAGGTGTGGTGTTCGGTTCTTTTGTGGTGTTCCAAAGAGTGGGCGAGGAGTTCAGACTCGGTATATTAGGTGCGTGGTTTGGGGAGGTTCTTGTTGTACATGTAAGGTCTCAAGTCTAGTCAACTGTAATTGAAGCAAGAACAAGAGATTTATCAAGTGTATCGAGAGTGCCGCAAGAGGTTGTTATAATGAATGTGAGGGACTCCCGAGGAACGAGGATATCCAGCAAATAAGAACGATTCACAAAAGAAGGAAGAACCTGGTATAAAAGAGAAGAGAGTATTACAGAGATCCGACGCGGTTGTCGATCAACACCTTTCGATGAAGAGAGAAACGAAGGATGGACAAGCACGGGGACGTGGAGTGATAAGTACTGACGACGAGGCCTGGCGTATTCACACCAGATGTGCTCGATAGGCAGTCAGTTAGAAAACCCTCCATGTCGTGTCTCAATCACCAAGCCAGGGTCAAGGAGCTGTGGATCTTGATCCACCACCACCACATCCCATTCTCTGGATCCACCACCCTCACTCTTTGGTTCAGAGGCCTGTCACTCGCAATCTGTCCCACGCCCACACACGCCCTCAAGGGCCCAGCAGCGGACCAGACGGCAGAGTGCCCCCGGGCCCTTGTCAAAGCACCCAAGTCATGTCTGGGGCAAGGGAAACATTAGGTGCGGGCCTGGGCGTCCCTGGTCTTCTTCAACTTAAGCCCATGGGCATGCTAAGCATGGCAGTCGTCCGCCAGTCTTGCCAGTACGGGCCATGGGGCCACGGTTCCCATCCACACCACTATGGCGCAGCCACTGGCTTTTCTAATTCTGGACGGTATCGGCTGGAAACCTCGAGCCTATCCGTCGCCGGATGGCCCGCCGCGGTATGAGAGTAGCCCCCGAAGCCTATCCAGTCCTTACTATGTACACCAATGCAACAACCCATGCGCCGACTGAATAAAGAGCTCGGCCATAAAGTAGTGGATAAGGTATGGATGTTCATGTGGATGCTTGTGCGAAAGGATGGGATGGCACGAAAAGCCAAAAGC